AACGGTCGTGACTCACTTCCATCGGCTGAACCGGGGACGCTGGGCGGTCGGTCATACGGCTTTGATCTGAGCGCTTTTTATCGTGACCGTAAAACGCCGTTCTTCATTTCACGGCACGGTAGACAACGACGGAACGGAGTGAGGCGACTGTTTTATGAGGTGAACCCTTAACTGTCGGACGTCTGAACTGGCGACGTTGTCCGGAGCTGAAGGGAGCGGTTAACGCGCTGAGAATACATGAAAAGTCACTGATCAAGCGGATTAGTAAAACTGGCATTTCGACTACATCGATCTCGGGTTCAGATGAAGGTGCGCCATCACCGCGTGAGGGGAACAGACCGAAAATTTCCTCCTAAATTGGGCCCCGTGACTCATCAAAAGGACTCATTGCTTTTCTGACCACTTCCTGATAGATTACTACACGCTGCTTGATATAGCGCAATAAATATGATGATCGACATCGTCGAAAATTAAGGAACGTGTAAATGTATATTTAAAGAATCATTAAAAAAATCACGGCCATACGTAATTTACGTTACGTTCTGATGTAAGAAAATGTTTGAATCTGAAGTCGGTCTTCCTTTCTCCACCAACACTTATAAATTCAACAACATGAGCCAACCGTTGTTCAAAGTGATGAAAAAATGAAGGTGCATGACTCTGCTTTGGGACTCTCCTCCTGGTTTCCAGGTCTCTGTACTTCAAGTGGTGCCAACGGTCTTATTTGTTCCATTCCCATACATCACCTGCCAAGCACTGTTCGGTTCTTCCCGTCGTCTGACCAAAAACTTCTCATCTTCTGCTTGGAGCCTCCTTTGGGAAGCAACTCAAAGATCGTCTCCAGTCGTTTCGTCCAAGTATATCATCGGATATTCCTTCCTATGTACAGAATTTCCTTAAGAACATGGAATGTTGCGTCGACTTTAGTTGGCTGAGGTCAGGTTTCTAACAGGTGATTAATAATGTGCGCAAGAAAAAGCCGGGGCTCCATGCAATCTTAGGTTTCTTGTAACTCGTGTCGAGTATTATTATGGTTGCATAACTTCCTGATAGGCCCATGCATTTTCGTTCTGTACAATAAAATCTTGATATGGTAGTACTCACTAAGCCTCCGCATCGGTCACAGCCAGAGCATTAACTGAAACACACAGGCAGCTATGCCCAGGCTTAGGGATTGCGGACAGGGGATAAGCTTAATAATAATCCAGTAAAAAGCGTTATTACGAGCTTGTACTGAACCCCGAATTGGTTTATATCTATACCGGTATGGACTGAATTACCAACTGATTTCAGCCTGTACCGGTATGGACGGATTTTTGCAGTGGATGGTAACACACATGCATATACTATGTATACTGTAAAGCTTTTTTAAACATCTAGAAGCAAGAAAAAAGTGATAACGGTATGCGAATCCGGAGAAGGAAATCGTAGAGGTCATCGGAATCAGAAAACAGCATAATAAAAAAGTCAGTTTATCTAGGGGTGGATGAACGTAACGTTCATAGCTCTGATTAATACTTTTAACACAGATGTCTAATCCCTGTAATGCCGTAACTGAAGGAAAAGAAATATGAAAGTCTTATTTGCAATCATTGAGTGATTCAACCGCAAGAAGAAAATCACACCCATTTAGCCGATATCAATAAATGATATTTTGTTTTAAATAAAATGTATATTGTAGTTTACATATTACATGACATCTCATGTATTTCTATCGATTAGCGCATTAATCATATTTTAACATATTTTGTCAAATACTGTCCAAAATTGAAGCTCGGCGTCTCGGTGGTGCGTAAAGCGAAACAACTTAATTATGGAATCGTAGGAAACAGTGATCGACCAGATCGAGGTTTCTCGGTCTTTGGAGCGTTCGACTCATAACTAAGAGGTTTCGAGGTTCAAATTCGGTCGAGTCGTTTTTCAGACATAAACAGAGGAGTGGGAGAAGTTACTTCGGGGAAAGAAACTTGAAGACTACACGTTATACTTATCACATGAATGTAAGCATTACTTTTAAGAAAAGACACTCTTCACTGATGGGACAGAAATATGGCTCAACTTTGTATCATAAACTTCATGAAAAAAAAACGAGTGCCCAAATAGTTCCCAACCATAAGAGGAGACCGATATCTCACCTTGTATGACGTAGCGAATTACAATCTAGCAAGGGTTCCCCAGCGGCCTGGTACCGGTATCCAGGAATAGCAAAACCCATTAATGATGATTATCTTTAAGAGAAGGACACCTTGACTACAGTCCATCATTAGCATCAATAGATATGTTATCCCCTAACGGTGATTAGTAGTTTAACAGTGGAAAGTTTAAGAAAATGCTTCGACACCTATTGGTTGGGACAGAGATCTAATCACTGCTGAGTACCATCCTATCTGCGACTAGCTTATCTTATTCAGTGGATGAGTGCTACGGTGTTAAAAGAAATACAGGTCTTTCAGTCAGCCAGAAACATGTCATGGATTTCTTGCATCGTGTTACCACTGTTTCAGAATGGTGGTTGAAGTTGCCATCCGAAACGATACACTTCGAAAGGGAACGAGAACTTACATTTTGCCCACCGAGCCATTTTGCCACTGAGCACATCTGTCAGTGCGAAACTGCCCATTCTGAGTATCTGAATTCCCCAGTCAAAATATTTCATATTCAGTTAATAAACAATAAATGCATATTTCTGTTTATGCCAAAGTACGCATTTGAGATTTCGTTGCAGGAGGTCAAAAATGAGATACAACTGTGGCCTAGACATATGAATTTACTGACCACCAAAAAACTCTTTTCTAGACACGATCCTGCGTTCAGACTTTACTCGCAAGCACGTGAAAGAACAGTCTCGACGGCGATAACCGAAAATCTCAATACGTGGGAATCCACCGGATCTTTTACCGCTGCTGGAAGCAATTTATTGTGATGCAACATATGGAAATGCATAAAAGCGGAGAACTTAGGTAGTTTCGACAGTACCCTCATTGTTTTAGAACGATTCCCTCATACCATCGTTGCTGCAATCCGTCCCTCCGAAACGTCGAGAGGCAGAATGTCAGTCGTTTGATCAGTTCATAAGGACCTGCTGTCACCTTGGCCACGGAATAATACCATCACCGGCAAAAACGCGTCTTTGCAGTGTGCCGATCAGAATTTGTCGTACAGTTGCCTCGAAGCACTGCACCCTCAACTCATAACAAAGATCGGCTCGCTTTGTTCTCGTGCAGTCGTCGCCGTGACCGTCGTCGTCAAATCGCATATCGTCCTAAGAAAAACTCGCCTGTTCAGTGACTGTAAAAGAAGAATGGCGGTTCGAACGGCGCACAACGTCGCTTCGAATAAAGCTTGCCTACCTGAGCATCCGTTAAAGCGTGTAATATGAAGAATTTCAGAAATTCGCGGCCTGCCGGCAAGTGATTTGGAAAAACGATCGGCGCCGTCGAACTGCAACAAGAACCGTTTCCCCCTCACGGCCAGCTGCTCAAGCGTAAGCCGTTCGCGAGCCTCTCGATGGTGGGTGTCGATAGTTGCCGTTTCAATCAGTCACTCATTCCGGTTTCATCATTCGGCAAACGTCTGCTTGCTGAAAATCACACATATCGAAATAATGTCGTAATTCAAATTCAACGAATTCATATATATATTTTCGGAATGCCACGTCAAGGTTATAAATGTAATAAATTTTTCACAATGCAAATGTCTGTTGGTGTGACATAAGTAAGATTCTCCTTTATTTTCTTCCGACGTTTCGGCTTCCGGCACAGAAGCCATCATCAGGGAAATTTTCCTAAACGTATTTCTACCCGAAATATGGAAGAAACGAATATCTTCTGTCACACGAAAATCCATCTGCATTGAGAAACAGGGAGAAGATTTAAAACAAACGAATTTCCACAACATTGGATATGAATTTTATTTTCCATAAATTTGCGTAAGGATAGTGGCATATCTTGTTGGTGCTTGAACAAGTGTTACAGCCCAACTAAGTGACACGGTTTTGAATCTTACACACTGCTGTTCAGACGATATGCGCAATGGAGCCGTGGCCTCCTTAAGTGGTTCCCATAAGGGACAAGAAGCAAAGAGGCAGTGCATTCTCGCTTGCATCGGTGTAAAGTAAGTAAAAGCTTTTCTCACTTTACACGGTACGTTTTCGC